GCATTTACTTTTATTTTGACAGAACACACACTGTTTGCTTTCCATGACCCGGAGTGCGGTGCTACTAAGGCCCAGCGTTCTATTGCTACGCGGAAACCTTTATAATCAGTGAATGCCTGTTGCAAAGTGTAATTATTCAGAGTTTTATCAACCTAGCGTCAGCTTAAGAGTAACGTGGAACTTACCCTTTTGAGTTTAAACATGGTTGCCGAGTTCTGCAGTAAAAAACTACAGGAATTGATTGCCTTTGTTCAGTTCCAACCAGTCATAAGCTTATGTATTTGTGTGATGAATGTCCTGTTTTCGTTTGTGGCAACCATTGGAAACCTCCTTGTAATTCGTGCCTTGTGGAAAGCTTCGTCGATCACGGCAACATTAAAGAAGCTGTTCCTAAGCCTCGCTTTCTGTGACCTTGCAGTTGGAGTGTTTAGCCACCCGACGTTAGCTGTCACCATCGCAGTGCTACAGGATAAGGCAAAGAATGGACTCTATGCTTTTTTCTGCCCGACTGTTATCACAGTAGTAATGGCTCCAACGTTTTTGCTGCTGGGAGTTTCGTTTTCCTTGATTGCCGCTATCGCTGTGGACAGACTTCTTGCTGTGTCTCTACATCTAAGATATCAAGAACTTGTTACGGAGAAGCGAGTAACCATCGGTTTGACGGTTATATGGTTTAACAATAGTCTTCTTACATTGGCTTTTATGAGCCTTCCCAGCCACAATGACTTGGTCACGGTAACTTGTCTAACTGTTGGATTGATTTTGGTAACGGTAGCATATTTTCGTATTTACCTAGTGGTGCGCTGTCATCAAAATCGAATACATGGCCAAAATCAGGTTCAAAATGGTCAAGCAATGCAAGCTGCCAGAGTAAAGAAGTCAGCTTTGAACGCTTTGTATGTCTATATCGTTTCCCTCGTTTGTTTCACACCAAACTTATTGGCTGGTATTCTGCTGGTAGTCGACAATTCAAGCACGCCTACTTTGGTAGCATACAGTGCTTCTGTATTTTTAGCTTTACTGAATTCTTCTTTAAATCCACTAGTCTACTGCTGGCGATATCGCGAGATTCGTGATACTGTGAAAAACACAGTAAAGAAGATATTTAATAGGAATTGAGTGGCACAGTAAGCACGAATAATTGAAATATTATCTCAATATTTCCAGAAACTGTTAATTAGAAGATGCAACTTTCTACAAATAGCTTAAGGAAACACAAATAGGGAAAGAACGAAGGAAACCATTTCAAAGGAAACAATGATTAAAGGCGTGTTAATAAAGATGAGGGCATTGGGATGGCCGCGTGGATGATCTCATCAGTAAATATAGACTGGGACATAAGGACGTTCGCGCGAAAATTTTCTAGTCNGTCACCATCGCAGTGCTACAGGATAAGGCAAAGAATGGACTCTATGCTTTTTTCTGCCCGACTGTTATCACAGTAGTAATGGCTCCAACGTTTTTGCTGCTGGGAGTTTCGTTTTCCTTGATTGCCGCTATCGCTGTGGACAGACTTCTTGCTGTGTCTCTACATCTAAGATATCAAGAACTTGTTACGGAGAAGCGAGTAACCATCGGTTTGACGGTTATATGGTTTAACAATAGTCTTCTTACATTGACTTTTATGAGCCTTCCCAGCCACAATGACTTGGTCACGGTAACTTGTCTAACTGTTGGATTGATTTTGGTAACGGTAGTATATTTTCGTATTTACCTAGTGGTGCGCTATCATCAAAATCAAATACATGGCCAAAATCAGATTCAAAATGGTCAAGCAATGCAAGCTGCCAGAGCAAAGAAGTCAGCTTTGAACGCTTTGTATGTCTATATCGTTTCCCTTGTTTGTTTCACACCAAACTTATTGGCTGGTATTCTGCTGGTAGTCGACAATTCAAGCATGCCTACTTTGGTAGCATACAGTGCTTCTGTATTTTTAGCTTTACTGAATTCGTCTTTAAATCCACTAGTCTACTGCTGGCGATATCGCGAGATTCGTGATACTGTGAAAAACACAGTGAAGAAGATATTTGATAGGAATTGAGTGGCACAGTAAGCACGAATAATTAAAATATTATCTCAATATTTCCAGAAACTGTTAATTAGAAGATGCAACTTTCTACAAATTACTTTAGGAAACAAAAATAGGGAAAGAACGAAGGAAACCATGTCAAAGGAAACAATGATTCAAGGCGTGTCAATAAAGATGAGGGTATTGGGATGGCCGCGTGGATGATCTCATCAGTAAATATAGACTGGGACGTAAGGACGTTCGCGCGAAAATTTTCTAGTCAATATGCTTTCTTAAAATTTTTACGGCAGTCACTAAGATAATGAGTAATGCAAAAAAATTAGGGGTCACCGTCTTAGTTTCAGGCCCCATTTATATGATCTCGGGTACCCGAGACAACCCTCCCCCTAAGGCAACTTTATCGAGCGTTGACATGTGAAAACGGTTTCCCTGCAGGCCGAGTCAAAGTTGACCCTGCCTGATTATTCGTAGCCCTTATTAAATGATCTAATCTGTAAATATCCCTCTTTCTTTGAGTTTCCCTCGGTCATTCAATCACAGTTGGTTTTGCCGAGTTAATTTTCACTTCTTTGGTAAAATTAAACCCTTAATCTAGGCATTTCGTGACACTTGCCAGGCCGAGAGTTATCCCGGTTAGGCGAGCCAAAGTGTTTATATGAATAAAAGTTGTCCCGCCTGCCAGGGTTACCCTGCCTGCCGAGGCGAGACAACTCACCCACCCGAGTTGTCTCGCCCCCCGAGACAGATTTGCGATCCTCTTGTAAACGGTTGGTTGAATTTTGCAAATAAATAAGTGAAAAGTTACCTCGGCTAGGGTAACCTGGGGGGGAGGGTTGTCTCGGGTAACCGAGACCATGTAAACGGACCCTCAGAGATAAAGCATGTGGAAAACTACCCTGATTTTGAAAAATTGGCGCACGTGATTCAGCACGGTCTACAGGGGTTTATAGTTTAAAATATCGAAGGTGAGTCAACGGAGGCAAACGATCTTGCTCATATTTTGTAGAAGTGGCTCTTTTGCATAGATAATCCCAAATGTTACCAACGTTTTCACAAAACTTAACCCTTCAAGAGGCATTTGAAACCGTCGCACAGATAAACAAAAAGCTAAAAAGAACGGAATTCGATGGTGCATTTTGCAAAAAATTCAAACTTCTAGTCGACAGATTTTCTTCATTTTCTCGCTAAACGTAAAAAATCGGTAGAGAAAATGATCCATCAAAAGAAAAATAGGGGTCACCCAACGTCCAAGATCATTAAATCCAGGCAAAGCTATAGCAATGGTCATCTGCTCTATCATTGTTCATTAGGGAGTTCAAGTAATGTCGACGGCGACGCCGAGGACGACGCCTGGTCAAAAATTTATTCATATTTCACCAGCGAAATTCGCCATTGTTTGGAACTGTTCAGTACGCCGATGGCTCTAAAACCGCGCTCAGGCTAAATATGCAATGACGGCATTCAGTTCCAAATGGACATACGAAAAATTAGCCGTTGTCGTTCGCGTTCCTTGGATGACGCAAAACTTAGTCATTTCATGTTCTTGTTTTGTAGAGGACGGCAAAGAAATGTACAAAGATTTTTAAGGCACGTGCACAGCTATTGTTTTTCTCATTAAACCTTTTGTTTGGTGATGTTCTCGTTGATGTCGTTGTCGTGGCTTGCTTAAGCTCCCTATTTTAATATATAGATTTAGCCAAGCGTAAAAGCGGAGTTCCTGTACCGGGTTGTTAGAGCCCGATTAAGCTAACCCAGGATAAGCGAGAATTTTGATCTGAGTTTTGCAACTTTGCGGTAAGGTTTTCTGTATATTGTTTGCCCTTCTGTTTTGAGTTTGAATAATCCAAAAAAAACTACGCAAAACAAAAGCAGTAAAAAACATTTGTAAATAAGAAAAATTTATACTTTGGTTAACTTTTAATCCTGGGTTAGTGTTAATTGGCTTCCCAACAACCCGGCCCCGTTTACAAGTTAATCTGATGTGAGCCCGCGATCCAATCGAAAACAAGTTCTTAGTCAGCGGTCAACTTCAAAAAAACCACGTGAACTCGATGTGCTATAAACTTGAGCACGCGATATGGTCGCGTGATACCTTGTTTTGTCATAAACAATTGAGTAATATTAAAACGCAGAAGCAATTGACTATAACATGGATGTCCAATATCAAAGACGGACGTTATAAACCAAGGCGGAATGTCTCTTTCAACCTATTAGCTGGAGCGTGGCCGCCATCTTGGACAACTCCGCCGTCGCCCTCGCCGCCGTCGTGCGTACGCGCCCGCGAGCAATACCGCTAGCCATGATAACCATGAGAAAATCAATTCATGGGTTCGCTTTTCCTTCCTATATGAATATGGGGCTCCGCTTGGTGGCCCTTCGGACCGCCGAAGCTCCGCTATTACTTAGCGCGCACCCTCATGCATGACGCAGTAAACTTTGACAATGTTATGACGAAATTTATCATCAATAAGAGGACAGACGCATAAAAAACTGACGTCAATTTGTTTTTTTAAAATAACAAGACCCCAAAATGGTCAAATGCCGAGAATAAAAGATGCCGTAAACAAAGATAAGTGAACATTCTCAATAGCTTTTCTCGGTTTTTGATTTGCTACTTAAAAAAGTCCATAAAATCTCATTGGTTAAGAAGTTGACAGTTTGACAGCTGAAAATTGAACTTGAAAGCTTGCATAAATTAACATTTCATCCGTCTGTACTCTTATTGATGTTAAAAATTAGCCAATCAGCGCGCGACAAATTAGACAGTAATTGTAAAAACTGTTATAGTTTAAAACATTTGCAATCGATAAAAATAAAATGCTTCAAGTTGCTTATCAGTGTGACTCAGATCTTATTTTCGATTTACCAAGGAAAACTATAGAGAACGTGACATTGTATTGAACGATCAGCTGCCCTTCAATTTTTATCTCCTTATATTACTTTTCCTGCTGAATATAAAAGGTCATATTAACTTGGGGGACAACTGTCAATAAAAAGCATATTGTGACGGCTTTAATTAGACACTTCCTGTAATGCTATATGAGCAATATATCGTATGCAATTAAATTTCTCCGCCTAGTGCCTTGAGCTGCTTATAGTTGAAGCCTGCCTTAATAAAACCTTGTTAATTTGAGCGTCTTGTAATTAAAGTCACTCTTTTGGCCGAGGAAAAAGTTTAGTTAGTTTCTTATCATTGATTAGATCACCCTTTCACTATATGACCCAAGGGTTGTCGTATTAACAAGGTTCCATTCTATTTAACTTTGAAGAGGTCTCTTTTGAAATTGATCTTTGTAACAAAAAGAAGTGCGTTGTTACCCAGATTTTGAAAAAAAAAAACTTCTTTTGTTTTCTTTTCTCATACCCAGTTAAATTAATAAAAACTTTTCCTCTTACCCGATTAAATTAATTAAAAATTGGTCAACCACTTGGCCAGACTACAGATGTCAATCTCTGATCCTGTAAATGATTACAAAACAGAGACTGAGGTCTTTAACAGTCTTAGTACATAGAGCACGACGGAGCGCTAACGTCAGTCACAACCATCTTCGAGGCTTGAAGGTAAACATGGTCAGCGCTGAATTCTGTGGTAAAAAATTGGAAGAGTTGGTTATCGTTATTCGATTTAAGCCAATGACCTATTTAAGTATCTGTGTTTTAAACGCGCTTTTTTCCGTTGTGGCAACACTTGGAAATCTTCTTGTTATTCGCGCCCTGTGGAAAGCCTCGTCCGTTACATTAACTTTAAAAAAGATGTTCCTGAGTCTTGCTTTCTGCGATCTTGCGGTTGGATTGTTTAGCCAACCCGTGTTAGCTGCACTGTACGGAGTAATAGTAAATAAGGCAGCGAGCGGAAATTATGACTTTGATAGCTACTGCCCGGTTATTATTACATTAGTCATGGCCCCTACGTTTTTTCTGCTTGGAGTTTCGTTTTCCATGGTTGCCGCTATAGCGGTGGACAGACTTCTTGCTCTTTCTATTCACCTAAGATATCAAGAACTTGTTACAGAGAAGCGAGTCAATATTGGTTTGGTGGTCTTGTGGCTTTCAAATGCTCTTTACACGTTTGTCTTTATGGAACTTCCCAGCCATAATGAATTGTTAGCTGTAATTTTACAAACCGTTGGATTGATTTTAATAACGGTAGCATATTTTCGTATTTACCAAGTAGTGCGCTATCATCAAAATCAAATACATGGCCACAATCAGATTCAAAATGATCAATCCACGCAAGCTGCCAGAATAATGAAGTCAGCTTTGAACGCTTTCTATGTCTATATCGTTTCCCTTGTTTGTTTCACGCCAAATTTATTGGCTGGTATTCTGCTGGTAGTGGACAATTCACGCTTACCCACTTTAGTAGCATACAATGCTTCTGCGTTTTTAATATTACTCAATTCTTCTTTAAATCCACTTGTCTACTGCTGGCGATATCGCGAGATTCGTAATATCGTGAAAAACACAGTGAAGAAACTGTTTCGTAACAACCAAATGGCACAATAAGGAAGAACAATTGATATAGTGAGCCTGACGAAAATTTGCAAAAATTGTTAGCAGCGTTGCCTAATGTAACTTCGGGAAATAACTTAATGAAAAAATGTACATGTATAGTCTGCTTCCAGTATTTTGATAAAGAAAAATGTAAATATCTTAAAGCTTGTGTTAAAATACCTCGTTAGATTTAATTATCAGTTACTGACACTTCTGTCAAAGCTTTTAAGATGCATTTCCAGAAGACCAAACGTCTTTCGGATTGGAATCATTAATATGAAATAAAAGGAAACAAAAGAAGTGAACGAGTAGCCCCCCATTTAAACTGGACTATATCTATTGATCATGCCCTTGAAAAAATGTGAATTTCCTTTCTGGCCGAGAAAGAGCGATAGCGAGATAGTTTTAACCTAATAACTGTGTAACAGGACGAGAATTTTTCTGACAAAAAGAGCCGATTTAATGCCAAGAGTCACATTTGTCTGTATTTGTGGTTAACTAGTGTGATGGCTCATCAG